AGAGCTTGGAAGTGAGTGCGCGAGGTGGTTATAAAAGGCTCCCGACCCTCCAAGAACAAGGTATGCAAACTTTGCGCTATCTGGTTTCATTTTGCCTTTGAAGGATTCTAACTTGAGCTTCGGACCCTTCACACCGGGTCTCCCCCGGAGCGTTCTCACCCTTTGGTTTCAGGTTCCCCGTAGCTCCATTCAGAGGCCAGGTCATCGACCACTAGGACCGGCCGGATTGCGCACCATCAATTACCATTTTAATATTTAAACATGAAAAAGGAAAAGGTTCAAAAAATATTTTCAAATATAAAATACATAAAAACATAGAAATTACAAAAAAATATAAAAAATTATATAAATTGCAAACAAAATAAAAAAATGTTTTCAAATTATAGAAACTATAGAAACTAAAAAACAAAATCAGAAAATAGAAATTGTAGAAGAAAACACCAAAAATTATAGAAAAACATAGAAATTGCATATAAATGACAAAAAGTCCAGGAAAATTTATGGATTATAGAAAATAGAAAAATGTAAAAAAAACAGAAATTATAAAAAAAACATTGGAAATTATAGCAAAACACTAAAATGCAAAAAAAACATGAAAATTGAAAATAGAAAAAGACCATTTTTCCTCTAACTCACCATTCAAGGGTAATTTCGTCATAAAAATTGTTATTTATGCTAACATGAATACCTCTGTTAAGAAACACTAACGGTATAAAAAACTTACACACGATGAATTTTAGACATTTTGAAAAATTATGGTGAATTTTGAACAATTTCCCTTTTTTTTATATTTTTGAAGGCGGGATTTGATCCCATGTATCCGCTACGACCAGCAGCAGATTTTACCAACCATTTGGTTAGCACCTTTCTAGCGTAAATATGTGATGTTCATACATAGACGGCTCAGCCCGGAACTAGCATAACATAGGAAACGAATGAGAGATCTCTTATACTCATTCGAAAACCCTAACCCTAGATTCCTGAATAACAATTTTCACGGACAGAAAATTCTCGTTCGTCCAGCAATGGCGATCTGTAACTATTCTCACTTCAAACCCATCTCCTTAACTCCTTCAACGAATCGCTGCAGATTCGAATCGTCCACCTCCCGCGTCCTGACCTTCCGATGCAACAACTCTCTCGCCTCAACGCAGCTCAAAGCCGAACCGGAACCAGTCCTCACCTCCGTTAAATCATTCGCACCAGCAACGGTCGCCAATCTCGGCCCCGGCTTTGATTTTCTTGGCTGTGCCGTCGACGGACTCGGCGATTTCGTCACCTTACGCGTCGACCCCGACGTGCATCCCGGCGAAATCTCGATCTCCCACATCCATGGCGTCGAAAGCAGCGTCGCAAAGCTCAGCAAGGACCCTATATCGAACTGCGCTGGAATCGCCGCCATCTCCGTCATGAAGAAGCTTGGAATCCGATCAGTGGGTCTTTCACTGGAACTCGAGAAAGGTTTGCCGTTAGGAAGCGGCCTCGGATCAAGCGCCGCGAGTGCTGCAGCCGCCGCTGTAGCCGTTAATCATATTTTTGGCGGGAAGCTACCGGTGTCAGAGCTTGTTCTGGCTGGGCTTGATTCAGAGCAGAAGCTCTCCGGTTATCACGCTGACAATATTGCACCGGCTATTATGGGAGGGTTCGTGCTGATCCGCAGCTACGAACCGCTTGACCTAGTCCCATTGGCGTTCCCAGCGGAGGAGTTGTTTTTCGTTTTAGTAAGTCCGGAATTCGAAGCTCCGACGAAGAAAATGCGGGCGGTGCTGCCGAAGGAGATCGGAATGTCGCATCACGTATGGAATTGCAGCCAAGCAGGGATGCTGGTGGCGTCGGTATTGCGAGGAGACTTAAAGGGGCTGGGGTTGGCTTTATCGTCGGATAAGATCGTGGAGCCAAAGCGGGCGCCGCTGATTCCTGGCATGGAAGCAGTAAAGAAGGCAGCGATTGAGGCAGGGGCGTTTGGATGCACGATTAGTGGGGCCGGGCCAACGGCGGTTGCAGTGACGGATGATGAGGAGAAAGGGAAGGAAATTGGGTATCAGATGGTCGACGCATTCATGAATGATGGAGGTCTGAAGGCTCGTTCAGTGGTGAGAAAACTGGACCGAGTTGGAGCCAGGGTTATTGAAAGCAACCCCTGATGAAGAATGAAGAGAAATTTCAAATTTCTAGGTTGGTGTCCTTTGCTTCAGATCCTTCGTTTGGATCCTCATTATCAATTCTTGTTGGATAGTGGAGGAGTTCTTATTGTGTGGTTAGAAGCAACTCGCTTAGTCCATACAAAGAGAAAAGTTCTAATTTGATTGTATTTAGCTGCTTCTTCCATCTTCCTATCTGGCTTAATCCAATGGAATATTTGTTTATGAAGCATCTGTTAAAGTGGACTATGAAATTTTGATCCATTCAGACACCTTCAATGCTATCTAAGTGGACTATGGAATAGTTGTTTTCTCTTTCATCAGCATGCATATAGTATGGCAGAAAAGAAGCAAATGGGTGTAACAGCAGCAGAAAAAAACAGGCCAACAACTTGGATGATATGAATTTTGAAGATCAAATTTTTTTTTTTTTTTTTTTTTTTTTTTTTTTTATATGAGGCTACTGTTTTATCTATTATTAGATGCTTCAGTGCAAGATTAGGAACAAAATAAGTTAGAATTTCAAGGCACTCCTCCAAGATTGATTTTGAAGATCTTTTTTTTTTTTTTTTTTTTTTTTTTTTATATGAGGCTACTGTTTTATCTATTATTAGATGCTTCAGTGCAAGATTAGGAACAAAATAAGTTAGAATTTCAAGGCACTCCTCCAAGATTGATTTGTCAGTACTGCGAAGTACCTGTTTTTCATGGGGATGTATTTATATTTGTATTTCAAGATAAAATGAATCTATTTCTATTGTCTGTGGTATGCATAAGAGAAACCTGGTCCAATTCAGTTTATCTACTCTTGATAATGGTGAAAAATAGTACTCTGGTTAAAGACATCAAAATTAGGGTATCAACCCTTAACTGAAAGTCTGCAATTGATGGAAAGAAATTTGGAGAATGGCTTATAGAGAATTCTCTGACAGAATTTATTAAATTAATGATGCCTTTCTTTCTAAAAATGTTCTCAGTAAATATTACCATTTATTACCAAACGACAAATGAGATCCATAACCGGTTTCTTTGAATTAATGTATCATGAAACATGTGGGACTAGATGACTGGATTGCTCTTGATGGTTGATAAACAGCTTCATAATGTTCTCAAAGACAAGTCTTAATGGCAGGTTGCAGCGTTCTTTGGCAGATTTGGAGGGGAAGAAACAAATGTATATTTGAAAACAGCCCTTCAAAGTTCAAACCTCAATCTATTATTGAAACGGCAAATGTATTGATGGTCAATCTATGGTCTCTCAGGTGCTCTCAGGTGGAAGAAATCTCCCCCAGGTGATATTATTAAATTAATGTTGATGCTGCAGGTTCAGTTTGCCGTTGGATGAGCCAGTATAATTATCAGAGATGATGGGGGGAGATTTGTGTATGCCAGAGCTATTCCTTTACATGGTGGATCTCCAGCTGAGCTAGAAGCTTTAGCTGCTCAAGCTGGCCTGAATATGGCTATGGAGTATGGAGCTTGGTCTCTCAGAGACCACTTTAAATGTTTGGAAAAAAACAGCCCAGGCTGTTTCGGTAGCTTCTACACATGGCAACGTTAGCTAATTCAGGTCTTCATTTGTCTTTTCAATTAAAAAAGTATTGAGTGTAAATATTATTTTACCCACACTCATTTTGAGGGCCATTCACAAGTCTCTGAAAACAGCGCAAGCTGTTTTTTTTCAAACAGCCATAGTTTTTCCGGTCTCTCAAGCATAGTTCTTCAGAGTGATGCAAAGTCAATCATTGACCTTCTGTTGGTGCATTTCATGGAAGCACCTTGGCAACTGAGTAACATCATTGCCCATTGCAGAGGTATCCTTCAAACTCGGCCTGAATTACTCAGTAAACTTCACCGGTCAGTAGTCATTACTCATTACAGTAATGGGCAGTCCATTATATGGTTTTCTTTTTTGATAAGAAAGCAGAAACTTCTTTCAATAATAGAAGGAAGCAGTCTAGAACAGGTCAAGTACAACCTAACAGCTCTCAAAAGATCAGTGCAAGCATGAGAGGAGATCCAATCTGGCCAGTTAAAAGAAAATAAACCCTGCTCCTGAAGACCCCTCTTAGCAATAACGTGATCAGCAAGACTGTTATATCTTCTGTTCACATACAAAAAAACAAACATCAAGAGCAGCAGCTGTTTTGTCAAAGCTATCCTTACAAGGGAAACAAACATTGGGACTGAAGTCTGAAATTCTTCTGTTTGTGCAGTTAATCAGGTTCAAACAATCTGATTCTGTGATTCAACCACCACTTTAGCCATTGCTTCTGCCTGAATGGCTGAAAAGGAAGAGAAACCACTTTGCTGATTAATGGGTTTGATGTCGTACATCTTCCACAAATCAACTAGATATAGGATCCCAAGATTTCATCTTCAAGAGAATTCCTCAACCACCGAGTCTGTACTCCTTTCAAAACCTTCATGGCAATCACTTTTCGACTATGCTCACTTAACCACCAACTGTAAGTAGGGGTGGCAAATGGGTGGGTTGGGTTGGGTTGGGTAAGGGTTGAATACCAACCCACCCATATTGACCAACCAATACACCATGATCCATCATCAATGCTTCTTAAAGGGTCATAACTCACCCTAACCTGGGTCACCCTAACCCACCCATATTGACCCTTACCCACCTTCACCCATACTAACCCACCTACCATCACCAATAAATATAGAAATGGATTGGGTCAACCCATATACCCAAAAAACAACTTTTGAGAGAATAAACTCTCTCGAGTCTACCACGTGCTATAAATGGGACAGGTTGACCCATATACCTGAACATAACATTTTTGAGAGAATCATCTCTTAAGGCCGCCATGTGATAGAAATGAGTTGGCCAACCCATATACTCGAAAATAACATTTTTGAGAGAATAATTTCTACAAAGGATACCACATGGAAAAAATGGGTCAAGTTGACATGTATACCTGAAAATACAAAAATTATGCAGAAAAATACCAAAAACTTTATAGAAAATGCAAAAGTTTTGCAAAAAAATACTAGAAAAATTGTAGAAAATGCAAAAATGGCAGAAAATATTGCAGAACATAAAAATACCAGAAATTTTTCAAAAATATAGAAAAAAATACCAGAAATTGCAAAACTTTTGTAGAAAAAATAAAAATAAAAAGCAGAAAATACCAGAAAATTGCATAAATGCATGAGAACATGAGAAAAATGCAGAAATTATGTAGAAAAATTGCAGGAAATTGAGAAAAAATATAGAAAAATTGCAAAAAGTGCAGAAAATACCAGAAATTACAGAAAGTGCAAAAATGCATAACTTTTGCAGAAAAATTGCAAAACAATGTAGAAAATACCAGAAAATGCATGAAAACACCAGAAAAAGTGCATAAATTATGCAGAAAATCCCAAAAAATTACAAACAAATGCAGAAACTACTAGAAAATTGTAGAAAATACAGAAAATTGCAAGAAATACAAAAAATACCAGAAAATTGAAAAAATAATGCAGAAAATACCAGAAAATTGCAGGAAATACCAAAAATACCAGAAAATTGCAGAAAATGCAAAAACAAATACCGAAAAATTATAAAAAAATTCAAAAAATAGAAAACATTTTCAGAAATGCACAAACAATGCATAACTTTTACAGAAAAAATCAGAAGAATGCAAAAGAATACCAAAAAATTGTAGAAAATGCATGAAAACACTAGAAAACATGAAARCATACCATAAAAACATGGCAAAAAATGGTAGGAGGAAGGCCCAACCTTTACTCAGAAACCTTCAACCTGAATTGAGACTTTCAAATTACTAAAGCCAAGGATTAAAGTATTGGTATCGAGTATCGGGTATTATATCAGATAACGAAGATATAGGTACACTTTGAAAATGCATGGATATAGATAAAAAGTATGGAAACATATGAATACGCTAGGGAAATACACACAAATTTTATAAATACATTAATAACATTAAATTTAAGATCAAAATAATCACAAAATATTATATAATTATAAATACATGGAAAATGTCAATTTTAATGATATATAAGAAGAAATATATTACAATTAGTATACTGGGATGCGTAGCTATCATATAATTTTATTTATAATGGATCCATCAAGAACCCAAGACACTAAATATATGCACTACTATATTTTAATTATTATATCAATTATTGTTTTATTTTACTATTTTAATTTTTTAAAATTAACAAAAAATCAACTCAAATTAAAATATGAATTGAAAATTTATAAAAATATAATCTTAATTTCGAGTGTATCAATTTTGTTAAACTTTCTATGATACATATCATATACAAATTAATATTTTTTAATTACTAAAATAATTATTCCATTATTAATATTTTTATTCTATAAATTTTATAAAATAAAAAATATTTTTTGAAATAAATGTACATTAGTGGATTTGATAGAATCAATTTAATATTATATTCTTCAATACTTTTGTTTATAATATTTTTATTTTTTGTAAATAATAAATATTTTGTTATTAGTTGTTAATGTAAATTAGAATAATAGTTAATAATTTATAAAAATACATAAAAATTTTAAGATTTATATCATGTTCGAATTTATAAATTTTAAGTATTAAAATAATTATTCTATTATTAATAGTTAAAGGAAGGAAGGAAGGAGGGAAGGGAAAGAAAGAAAGAAAGAAAGGAGGCAACATTCACCTATTATGATGACGACAACAACGATGGTGACCTTTTCCTTTGATTTCACATCTATGATCTGAGATCTAAGATCTTGTTTCTCTCTTTCTTCGATCTTAGATCCTAGAGATCTCACCTCTCTCTTTTTCTCTAATCTCTTTCTCTCTCTCTCTCTCTCTCTCTCTCTCTCTCTCTCTTTCTCTCTCTCAAATCTCAGTGACCTTAGATCTGAGATTGTGTTTCAGTTCCTCTCTCATCTTGATGTGGCTCGATCTACTCGGGTCGTAGTGTGAGAGTAAGAAGTGGCACAAACTCTGTCTAGAGGCCTGCAAGAGAGAGAATATCAAAGAGCCCGGGTTGTGAGCCTAGGTGAGGGAGCTCCTACAATCAAGTTAGTGCCAAGCTAAATGATCTAAATGAGAATTTCGAGTAGAGAGAGCAAAGTAAGTGATTTCTTCTACTTTATAGAGACAAGGGGTGATCAAGGCATTTCCAAGATTCTCGAAAGTAATGGACCTTGACGATCAGATTCTTAGGAGCCCTTGGGAGTGTTCTTTGGATGAGCCGCTCACTGTTTCCCTAGGAAGTAGGGAGACTCCTATCGTTACCATCGGGTGTTTGACATGCCTCCAAGGATCTCAGTGGCATTGAGTGCCTTGAAACACAT